GGCTGTTGGATAAGTCTAAAGAGAGAGAAATCAGGAAGACCCATTGAGCAAGAGATGGTGGCTGAATTAGTTTTGAGTCTCGCTAGGGTTGTCATACCTATTGTGACATGAATATTGCATACACATCATAAGCAATTACATATAACTAGAGGATTGTATGTTAATTTATTTATGCAAGAAAGCAGATCACATTGAATCCACTTACAGTTCATGAATTAACTTCACTCATCCACAAGCATTCGGAGTGAGTTTGAAGTAGCCAACCAAATCATGCGATGCCTAATTAGGATCGCAAGAATAGGTATATAAGAAAGTGACTAGATTTTCAGCCGAAAACCTTTTCTCTTGGTCTAATATATTGTGTACGCTAGTTCGTACAGTATGGATCCTTGCTCTAACGGTGTCTGTACATACGAAAGCTTAGCACCGGCTTATCGGTGTCGTAGGTCGGTGAGCCGAAAACTATTTCCGCACAATCCAGCAATCTTCACCCTGCGGTAATCCTGTCTCATTTTTCGGAGAGACCGTTTCACAAATTTCTTTCAACTAACTTTTCCTTCGCAATGGAAAGTCATGTCACAAGAATTAAATTAGACTATTAGCTAGTGGGCCTTCATAAAATAAAAGATAATGGAGAAGTGGTTTGATCTCATTTTCTGAACTTGATGGAGTTGACAAGAGGATCTCCATGGTGCACATTGTCCAAAGCCCTCTGTCGTGATATTAATGATAGTTTTAAGCATCTAACCATAAGTATGGTTCATTACCAGACGTTTAGTTGGCATCGTAGTAGGCACCGTAAATGAGCCTTGACTTTAGCACCAAGCTCCAATTCGGCCAAGAGTTAAGTAATTTCATTCCCTTGACCAACTTTATGTCAGAGGTTTATGGGAAGGATAAGATCTTTCCTGTCCTGACACATTCACCTAATACATAACTTCATATTCTCCCTTTTGCTATTTCCATCTCTACCTAGTTTGTTCTGAACAACTCTAGGTTTAATTAAACTTCAGAGTTTGACTAATAAGAAATCATAAAGGATCCGGGATTTTGTAACTCTGAGATATGATATAAATGGACAAATTATAAAATGAATTCAAAACCTCATTGCTGCAACTGAGTGGTTATACAACACAATTATGACTACATTACATTTTAGTCGAATTTTAAGTACATTTTTTAATATTTTTTAATTTTATAAGCCAAGTGATTCAATCCCATTTTCGCAACTTGGTCTTGTTATAAGAGCGACCTGGTTGGAAGCACATTGTTAGAAGTCATCTACCATAGTAGTCACGATAATTTTCAGAGTAGGACCGTGGACTTGATACATTCCCAGAGGTTCGCCGGTATCATCAGTGGGTCTTCTTAGTCTCAGCACTAAGTTACAATTCCTAATAGATACAAGTGAAGTCCATCCCATGACAAACTTTCTTCCGAACGATTGTGATATCACCTCATACTCTCTCCTGGTATATCTAGTTATCATATATCTTTGTATCTCACTTTCTCGTTTTTGATGAACTATTTCATAAGCGTGCTCTTTTGAGCTGCTTTAGATGGGCATCAAAACTGTTGAGTTACTGAAAAAATCTCATGAATGGGAAACCGGAATAAGACAGAATTTGCGAAAACTTTGTATATTGCTTGAGAAAGATCAAGATAAAGAGATGACTAAATCAAAAATGCGATTTAAATAAAAAAAGAGATTACAAGAGGCCCACGAGAAAAAAATAGAAAATCTAGATGTCTACAGTCGGCCTAATCAAGCCAAGTGAACAGCTACAACATTTGGGGGTTGATAAAAAGAAACCAGAGCGAGGAAAGTTATAGAGTTTGCATTATGGATAAAAGCATGAGGCCAATTATATCATAACTTCACCTGAATGATGTGACGGAGACCAGACAGTAGGCTCGTAATACACGGGTTTGATCAAGTAGGTAGTCCGTGAAGTAAAGGCTTGACCACGAGATCTACCAACTGGACTGAGATAAAGGAAACACCAAACTTTCGTTTTTAATCTTTATCTTCATTTGTCTCTTTATCAACTTGTGGTGTGATGCTAAGAGTGGCAAGGCTCCCTGATGATGCCGGCGAAAAGTCTGGGAATGTGCCAAACCCGTGGCCCGATTGTAAATTAGTATGCATACTGTGGACTCAGGACAATGTAGGTTCCCCTAGGTAAATGGAAACAATTTCCACACAACGAAAGGAGACTACACCAATACTAAAGGCCACACCATCTTAATCTTCATAATTACAAAGTTAAATGAATCTTCTATCTAGACAGGGAATCCAGTCTTTGTGGGCTATCTCGACGATTCTGCAGCATACGTGTTACCAAACGCTTAAGGCAGATCATGAAAAATAACACCTTGAGTAGCAGACAGAATGAAATCACTGAACACGGGGGATAAGAAACAGGCCATCCAAGGCACGAGGGAGATTGACAGTAGGTTGCAGACTTAGAGACAAGTTTGATCAACATTACCAGAATAATGGAAGGGGGAAAGAGGAAGCCAGCGCGGAATCTGAGTAGGCCACAATAGATAAACCCAAAAGGGTATACAGTCTAAGCTGGCTAAAATAAGCAAAATATGAATTGTGCTAAAGGAAATGTGATACGAGAATAGTGTCAAGGTGGATGTGGCAGGAGGGTAGGGTACTAGAATCAGTAAGTGAAAATTTGGTCGAAATGGGCTTCACTTGTTGCTGGATCGTCGTAGTTTGACTAAGACTGGCAAGGCTCAATGATGAAGCGTACTACGAAGCTGAAGAAACATCTGGGAATATACCAAGTCCAGGATACGAATGGAGGGTAGCATGAATACTATGACAGACAAGGTGCATTAATCGAGGTCTCCCTGACAAAGAACATTGCAAAAACGGGGTTAAACCACTTCTATATAGCGACTGCGGTCAAAATGTAAGCCTCATCATCGTTGTATTCATATGTACAAAAAAAAGTAAAGCCTAGTGAAAGAAATAAGGGCATACCTTTGAGTAGGACCAGCTATGGATAATACGAATAAAATAACAAAAAGTATCAACAGAGATACCTTAGAAAATCAGGAAGATAAAAGAAAGCATGATGGTTTAAATGGACCACAACTAACCGAAATGACAAATCATGTTGTAACAAGCGTGATTTTTCTCCAATAACTAAATTAGAAAGCCATGTGAATAACGTTCACAATACAGGACAAGCTTTACGTGTAAACTAGCCAAATTGTGAATAAATAAAGTAAATTGAAATTACACAAGGGGTCACGCTACTTAAGTATACACATTCGTGATAGTTAAATACTGACTTTAATAAAGAAGATAATAAAAACATATGTACTTGAGACTATCATTTAGATAAGGTAATGTATGGAGCATTTTTTGGATATAAATAGTTCTCGATCCGCAAACGAATGACAAGGCTGGATCTGGAGGATAATACATAAGGATGTTGCAAAGGAATTTTAAAGACAGGTTCTTCGATTAACCTATAATTTCGAAATCTAGATGCTTAACACGAATCGACAGAGAGCCTTAAGAACAAGTAGTGGCAAAATAAATATTAACTCGAGTACGGGAAAGTGGTCCTGAATAGCTTATAATCTAAGGATCAATTGCTACTTAAAATATCCTGAATGTAAGCTTTGCAAAATACGAGCCCAATCCAGTGAACTGAGAAAATATGGCTTAGTAGATCATGTAACAATGTTTTTTAATGCTTATTTGTACAAGAAAAAATTCTTGAGAGTTCCCCCTGAGGCGTATTTTAATTTCGTATTCTGGGCAGTGCTGATGGGAAGGTGATTTTAGGATTCTGTCTTACACTGAAGATGCTTGTGAAGTAGCAGGAAAACCAACATGCGTTCACTACACCTCTAAGATTAATATAAAATGATCTTCAAAGTAAACTTACAAACAGCATGGTCAAAAACATGATTAAAAGCAAGAAACTGGGATTTTTAATTTCTATGAGGATTACGAAGACTTATCAAGAGATTTGCAAATGGATAGCATTTAATCATGAGCATGATTCAATGGACAAAATCTTTAGATAAAATGGCAGATAGACTTACTTCATTAATATGCTTGTACGTTTTGATGAGATTTACGGACATTTTGCGCAGAGGTGCTTCTCGTGGCTCTCGAAAGCGCATAATTGGAGTATGTATGGAAATGGGTGCGGGCGCATAGGTATTAGGTAAAATTGGTATGCTGGCGTGAGCTAGATGCGAATGAAGACTGTTGATCTGACCAAGCTGAGGAGATGCAAGCATACTAGAGTGCTGTTGACGCTGGATATTGCTAGAATATGCACTTACAGACGGCATGTAGAAGAAAGGAGATTTCAATGATTGTGACGTGTGTTGCTGTTGTGATTCAGCCACGGCAGCAAGTGCCGCTGCTTGAACGGCTGCTGCGGCCGCTGATGCTCCTAGTAGGCGAAGGCGAGCACTGGACTCTGGATCATTAGAATTTCCGGACATGGAAGTCATTTGTGGCGCTAAAATGGCAGTAATACCGTCGGATGGATCGATATTGGCTTGGATCAAGGGGTTTATGCCAGCGCTGGCAGTAACTACATTGGCTAATGAAGAAACTTGATTAAAACCTTCTGCGTATGGTGCAATAAGTGGACGTGAGGTGATGCCTAAAGACATGGAAGAAGCTGAAGTGGAAGCAGAGGTAAGGTTATTTAGTGATATTCCCGATATAAGAGAACTGGTTACAGGAAGATCAGAGGCCTTCTGGTAGAAGATATTTGTCGAATTAGGATCATCTATAATGTGCTGATTGACTGCTTCACACAAAGACACCGCTGTCACAGATTGCCCTTCGTCTGTTGCAGCCCTCGATAATGCGGAGGAGAGTGAGGGGGAGGTTGAATTTGTCAAATGCTTGCAGCCAACAACCGCACTAGAATCAATATCTTTAGATGAATTCTGCTCGAACGGAGGAGAAGTTGGAGAGCCAAAAAACTCACCTTCATCAAAGACCCGACGGTAGATAGCGTGACTTGTTTGGATTTCACTATTGGCATCTTCTTCTCCATCGTCTTCTTCATATTCATCACCCTCATCACAGTCGTCCTCATCATCTGGCTGGCCAGCACTGAGCATACGATCAAATTCACTTGAACGTAGATCCATAATGTTACTCTGAAATCTATCTGGGTGGTGCACGCCGAAATCTCTATCTAGTTCGTTATCTATACCTAACAATCGTCCATATAGAGTAGGAACTAGTCCTGGTTGTCCTCGAGAAGAAGGGGGTGGAGGAGGAGGTCTCATTCGGCTTGAGAAGCCATGCAAGGCTATATTATTATTCCTCAATAGATGTAGTGATTCATTCGAATAAAAATCATCCATCAGATCAGCATCTCCGGCATCAAATTTTGAGGAAAAATTTCGCTTAGTCATATCGGGAAATGATTGCTGGACGGAAAGAAGATGCGTTTCCCGAGTAAGCTCGCTGACTAAAAGAGCATCCTCGTCGTCCTCATCTTCTTCATTTGGCATTCTTTCATCATTGGAAACTAACTGCGAACGATCAATTTCAATTCGACCAGTGGAACCAACTTTTTGGAGATCCTGCTCTCCCACAATTTTACCATCAGCAGAAAGCGTAATAAGGGAAGGGTTATAACGCCCTCTTGAAACTTCTGCTCCCGGAGTTTGACTTCTAATACGATAAAGAGGTTTAATGCCGCTTTCTCTTCTCGGGGGAGGTGATAGAGGGGGTGGTGGGTTAGTATCCTCCCTACTGCTTCCGGAATCTTCATCAGTACAGCCAAAACTCAGTTCATTTTCACTTCTAACGTGGCTTTGAGTAAGTGCAATATTTCGTTCACAAATGCTAACGTTGTTCGTTAATTCAAGAGAAAGCCGATCGATAATACTCTCTGCCGTTTCGTTATTTTTTATGGGATTTGAGGCAGAGACAGAAGCTTCTATCGCAGGATCCTGCGAAAATTGTATTAATTGGTTTTGAGCCTTCATTCCACCAATAGATTCATCGAATGAATGTGGCAATTGAGCCGAATGAAATGAACGCAAAGACGCTGCACTCCTATCCGAAGGACCAGCGGAAGGCTTTTGTTGGCATATATACATAATACAAATCAGGTGAGACTAAGTCCTGCCAGAAAACTCGAAACGATTTGATTACGAGCAGATAGCTGGCGGTCGAAGAATGCAGCAATAGTAATCAAAGGGTAGGATCCATAACAAGGGTAACTACCAGCATCCATAGTCGTACATTATTTTCCAATGAATCTGTGTTGATACGAGTGTAATGAAACCTGAAACAAAAAATTTTAAAAATTAACTTCGTTTGGAAATACAAAATGATCAAGACCAGGAATGCTTAAAACCAATTGAGGATAAGTAATTTTTGAGGGTGAAAAGATCATGGGCGAGAGCAGCTCAATTAATTAAAGCCAAAAAGCGATTTAGGTGTATTGAAGCAAAGTTAGAACGTAAACAAGCAATTGGCTCTTAAAATGTGTAGATAGCATTTTTTAAAACGTAGTATTTTCAACTGATTAATAAGCAAAATCCGATGAAAAAAGAGGGAAAATGTACGTGTAAAGCCAGGGTAAGAGCTTTAAACGGTTGTAAAACAGTGGCATTTTGATTACATAAAATATAGTGAATAGATAAAGATCAATGAGGATGCGGCATTAATACGTACCAACCGATCAAAATTTAATAAATAAAGACAATAGCAACTGGAAAGATACATACACGAAGGAGCCGGCATCAGAAACCGGCGGTCATTATAATCGCAGCCATAATACAAAATGTTATATCAATTATCTTATTCCCAAAGCTGATGCTATTAACTTAATTAATAAAAATATATTTAAATGTTTTTTTACACTGGGCTAAGCTAAAATGACACTTATACTATTAAAAATTAATTTTGCTTCTATGAATACTTCGCATGAATAGGTTTGCTAAAACACTTATTTTTTGCTTATATCCAGAATATTACTTTATGGGATATCCTTTTTTATTCAATGCTGAGTTTGTTTTATAGGTATATCCGAAACACCAATGAAAGTTCTAGATAAAAACACTAAATTTGCATTTTATTTTAGCGTTATATATGAAGAAAAATTTTTTTGCTACCGACATCCTAAACTAAGGTTAACATAATCTCAACGATTGTATATTCGAACAATTTCA